TCATCTGGATCTCTGCTGAGATGAAACCTTATCACCACCCCATCCAACAGAACCTTTTCTCCTTCCCCCTCCTCTCCTTTGTTTTTTCAAGCAGGGTTTCTCTATGTAACCCTGGTGGTCCTGGATCTCTCTGTGTAGACCAGACTGGCCTCAAACTCACAGAGATCCACCTGCCTCTGTCTCCCTGAGTTCTGGGATTAAAGGCGTGCACCACCACCGTCCTTCATGGTGCTTAATTTTCCCGTCACACCCGATATTATGATCTGTCCATTCGCTGCTTGGCGATGTGAAATAATTCTTGTCTCTCCCAATGAGGATATACACTCCATGATGTCAGACTTTTTTTTTCCCTCCCACGTTCACTGTGGTATCCTGAGCCTAGAATCTGTTGGTAAGTAAATAAGAACTCACTAAATATTCTTTTGGAGGTTGAGGGAGGTACAAGCCAAAAGCAGCTGACATCACTGGGAAAAACAAGAGATTTGTGAGGTCCCAGATGGGACAGAAGTATAAAGATGCACAGCAAACTTGGGATAAAGGATTGGAAAAGTCAAAGCATCGATAAACATAAAAACCCATCATTTTATTATCTGTGGTATCTGCTGGTAATCCATTAATTTGTGCTTTGCCTCACCATTACAACATACTCTGTAGGGCCATTCTTGAGGTTTTGTGCCTGTGTTAGAATGTAAATGCTACCACCAGCTTCTCTATGCCTCTCTCCAAAACCAATAAACTCAGATGGAAAGTTCTGCTGAAGGAAGAGAGAAATTACTCTTGGCCACAAAGTCCAGAATATTCGATAGGAAGAAATGAACCTAGACAAGGCTCCAGCAATGGAGCTAGGAAACAGGGTGATAGAGAGTTCAGATGTCAACCCTGGGGACATTTCTAGCTCAGTCCCCCAACTCTAAAGGAAGGATAATGAGATATCTTGTGTGGTCATTTTAAGATAAAATGAAGTGATAACAAAGACATCCTAAAAGCCCTTCGGCTAAACATTATCTGAGTGATCACTCCCTTGATTTAGGATAAGTGCACCTTGTACCAGACTCTAATCCACTTCCTCTTCCCACTGTTAAAGAGCTTTGTCCCGACAAGGATCTGCTCAGGTCCCTCTGACACACGTCTCCAGTTGAAAGCATACACTGATTTCAACACGAACGTCTGAAGTTCTTCAACAAAGCAACCCGAAACCATCTTCATTGTGTGGCCACACTCCAGCCACATGGAACTACTCATTCTGGAATGCGATGGTGCTCTACTGCCCATCTGTGTGGCACCACACACTTACAACCCTGCACCATGCCCTCTCCCAGGCTCCCTTTTCCTACAGCCCTTGGCACTTTTTAAAGCCTTCCTGAACATCCCGACCTGAGTCAGATCTCCCTTTGCCCGGGAACACCATTTTCCCCAAGTCTACCTCGCCATCGCCTGTTTGCAGGTCTACCTCCCCGTAGTGAGTGGACCTCCATCTGCCCGCTTTCTGCGTCCTGGAACATATAGACTAGGGCGAGGTACACAGTACCTGCCCTATTGTTCTCTTTCAATAGATTTCAATTGCTTTCTCAGATCTTTCCTGCGAAGCCTCCATGACTTCTGACTCAGGGTTGGGAAAGGTCTTGTCTTGTCTTTGTGTCCCCGAGGAAACAAGCTGGAAAGGGAGGCTGGTTCACCACTCTTCGCTAAGGGTCTTCTGGAAAGAGTCAAGAGCTGAGTGTGGGGACAGGATGAGGTCCCAGACTGCTCTTCCATCCTCACAAGTTAAGACTTTAAATGCACCTGGCTTCATCTGAAAGGCTATGGATCCTCACGTGAGACACGTTCATATTTATGTCTGGTACAAAGAGAAAGACTTTCAACTTATTCATTTTCAAGACTATCCAAGCTTCTGCTTCTTTCCCAATAGTGAAAACTTCAGAGTTGACTATAATTCAAAGCAATTATTGTTCTTTGACTGTCAAGGTGCCCTGTTCCTCTTTTCATAAATATCCTGCAGGATCCCAGGCCAATTCAGTGCAAAGTCTTTTCTTCCAGCCCCATTTCTACTCATTTGCTACATTCAAATGAAAGAAAGGGAACCTGCTTTTGTCCCACTGTTAACATGATATATGTCTGAGTTTTAATTGCCCTTTAATTATACCTTCAGCCAGGTCTGCACCGATATAATGGAAATAAAACATTATAGCAAAGCCTGGGAGGGCCTTGCTGAGGCAGCAAGAAGACAGCATTGTAATACTTCCTGCAACCAAGAGGGAAGAATGAAATGAGAGGTGGTCTGGGGATGTCAGAAGCCAGCCAAACAATTCACTGAGAAAGCATTCTGTCTGTGACTGCGCTTCAGCCTTTCAACTCGGGGAGCTGCAAGGCTGGTGATTTGTTGGCGATTTGTTGCTCGACTAAGGCTGGCTGAAAATGGGAGAACTCAGACTGCTGGGCTGTGAATTAAGAAATAAACTGAGCAACCAAAGGAAACATGCTATGACATTTTCTAAATATTTACCACCGGGAGTTGACTATTCAGTGAGAGGAGGCAGATCTGGCAGTGAAAGCCCCTGACTGCTTCCTCAATTCTCCTTTGATCTCCAACTCCATCTTTCAAGAGACCCACACCTCCTGGGGCTGTCAGAGGAGAGACACGTGTCTGATGACCCCAACAAACACAGAGTTAGGAGTTACAACCCAGGGCACAGGCCCACATAGGCGCTCTTCCTCCCATGTTCCTTCCCTACAAGAGAGTAGCCCAAAACATCTGCCCCTAAAGACCAAAAGTCCAAACTGCTCTATAGATGAAACACCCACGCGCCTGTATCCTCATCCTTATTTTTGTCTTACCACATCTGCCTGCGTGGCTTCAGAGTCCAGTATCCACGGACTTTCCTGCCAAGCATCATTATAAAATCAAATTTCTCATAAGCCCACATAACAGCTATTTTCATTCCTGATGCTCCCAGCTCAATTGATAAGTGTTAACCTGAAGCCCGGGGTTGATGAAGAAAGCATCATAGACATAGACAATGAACAAAGGTATCTGATAATACTCCACACTTCCCCTGGTCACATTTTCTGCCTTTGGTGTCTTGGGCAGGGTTTGATTTTGGACACAATCTGAAACATTGTTTCTCGAGTTTGAAACAATTTATTCTTCATGAGCAATTTGGAGATTAGGTTAGATTAGAATAGGTATCTGAGTACTGGAGAGATGACCCAGCAGCTAAGAGTGTATACTGCTCTTGCAAAGGACACAGGTTCTGTTCCCAGCACACACAAAGAGTCTAACTCCGGTTCCAGAGGATCCAGTACTCTCTTCTGGACCCACACAATACTAGGCACACATGTGGTACACATATATGTATATATATATATATATATATATTTAGGCTAAATATTCACATGCATGAGAAACAAAAAATTTTAACAAACAAAAAACCAAACAGGTACCTGACAATCCCTATAGCTGTTTCTCATCCTCCAGAAATGCTACATACTAATATTTGTCTGTAGGTAATGGAATGTCCATACCTTTTTGTGGGGTTTATATATATATAGATAGGTAGAGAGAGAGAGAGAGAGAGAGAGAGAGAGAGAGAGAGAGAGAGAGAGAGAGTTAACAAGCAATGGGGAAATTAGGGAGCAGTTTAGCATTTAATTATCACAAACACGTTCTCCTTTTCCTACCCCAGTACCTTTTCATTTTCTTTCCTGGTTTGAATCTCACTAAGCTGTAAGTATTGAACATTAAAATATGTTCTTGTTCCTCTCCCCCAAAGGAATGAAACCTCAGTGGTGTGAATGGACAGAACTGTAGGAAACGAACCTCTTTTGCCATGGGAGAGAAGGAACTACAGGGAAGAAATGGGTTGGAGTGACAGAAAGGAAGGAAGGAATAAATATGACAAGGCGAACGGCAGCTAGGTCTCGTCTTTAAGCAAGCGATCACATAAACAGAAGGCTAGAGTGAGTGACCTCCAAGGTCCCTTCCAACCCCATCCCTGTCTGCCTCATGAATTTTTTATAGTCATCCCCTGTCCTGTCACACTGGCCCTGCGCATCATCAAACCCTTCTGGCCACTTCCAGGACTGAAAGGAAATCTGGTTTGTTTTGTTTTTTTAGATCTATTGCCAAAATCATAATTCTGTCCTTGAAACAATGACCTGAAAATAATAGGCCAGACTAAAGAACTTTTGAGCAAATAAATGCTCAATTCTGACATGAGACAATGTATTTTAAACTTCTCTGATATAAGCACAGCTAAGGCTTGAGGGTCAAGGAATGAAGAACGCGACAATTAAAGGAAAATGCTACAGCCAATCTTCCCAAGCTATACCACATCCCCTGCAGTGTCTAATCTGAAAAAGACAACAGAGCCAGCAATGGAGCGCGAATCCTGGCCTCACCTCTTCTTTCATTATCTACGTGATGCAAACAAGTTATTGAATTCCCTGAACCTATTTCCTCACTTTAAGAAAATTTATTATTATGGTATGTACGCGCGTGTGCATGGACACTTGTGGAGGCTGGAGGACAACTTTGGGGGGGACCATCACAAGGCTTGTAGAGTAAGCACCTCTACCACTGAGCCATTGCACTGGACCTGTCTCTTCACTTTTTAAAACAGGATAGTATGAGTAACCTTGCAGAATTGACAATTAATACAACGATATAAAAAAGATCTCTGGTCATTCATTCCTTCTCTTATTTGGTCAAAGACTAGCTGAGAATCCACTACTAGCCAGCCACAAATACATAAAAGATAGGCAAAACGAAAGTTGTTGTTCTTTCTATTTAACTGAAAACCTACTGTTTCCCAAAACTGTGGCAGACTGCCTTTAGTTCAAAGCTTTCGCTCACACCTAGTTTGCCTGAAATAGTCATGTTTATTTTGTCAAATGTGATCACAGGTGGGAGTCAGTCTCCGGTTATGCCTTTACCCCCAAGCTAACAATCCAATAGGCATTGTTTCTACTAAGGGACACCTTCAGAACACTTGGAAGGAGCAATGACTGGAGCAAAAGGTGGTATCCCAGCTCTCCACTGGGCAAGTCACTCGGGAAAACTTGATATGCCTGTGCAACAAGGCCCAGCCTGAATGCCTGGAAGGTTTTGGGTGCTTTCAATTCCATGAGTGGACTCTGTGTCTCCCGAGAACTCAAGATTAACAGTGCTGGCTTGTTCCCAGCCACTGCTATTGGGCCACTGATAAACCGGGGCGCAACAGCAAAGGGGTCCATCTCCTTCCAACTCTTTCCAACTGTGTTTTACTCCACACTGGAATTTGAAAACACTTTGAATAAACGGCTGGCCTTTGGAGTAAGTTCATTTCAAGGTCGGTGGGCTCTTCTCTGTTCTGAGTTTACTATCCCTTTTGTTAGCTAGCTCCCCAGCCGCTGGGGGTGCAGAGCAGCCAGCCAGCACATACATTAAGCAACATTTTGCAGGTGTAAGAGTTTCCCAGGGCTCAGTGGAAAAGCATGCAAGTCTGATCCTGAAATAGGAAATGACTACCCCGAGTCATAGTCATAGAACAGTAAAAAGGGAATTCTAGAATAAAATTCTGAGCGATCTGTGCAGCTAAGGGGAGCCTAGGAGGACAGCTTAAATAATGTGCCTCTCTCTCTTTTTTTATCCCCTCTGAAGACTCCTCTCATTCTGGAGCTGCCTGAATAACCTCCCTTGGAAACCGAACTATATACATCCTGATTTCCACAGGCAGGGGTTTTGCGTGGCTGCCTCCTAGCGTGGAGGTGACAGCCATATCCTGTCCCCACTGAAGTTCTCAGCAAAAGAGACCGTCACTGTATAATCCCATCCCACCGCGCCGGATGCATCTAAAACAGTGGCTTCTTTCCATGCTTCTTCAGTGAGTTAAGGGTGTTATTAACTCCTAGCACCTCTAATTGCTCACTGAAAACAGTGGTTTGGATATTAATAGGCTATAAATCAAGGCCCTACCTAAGGCTTGTTGTCACGGAAACTGTACTCAAGCCTCGCAGCTATTATCCCTTTGGGAAGTCTGGGTAAGTTGGTGGGATTTGAGGGTTGTGTTAAAGCTCTTATTTCTTCCACTTTCTGCTATTTCTTCGAGCCAAGTTGTTGGAACTGGCACGAAGGGTACGAGTGGGCAGTAGACGCTTGGAGAATAGGAGCTCAAACGGAATGGGATGGGGGGGGTCCTTGAAGTATAGTTCTGGGACACTTGATCTTTCCCTTCTTGGTCTACACAGGGCTACCCTGCACGAACTGCCCGACGTCCAGAGGCTCAGCCCCCTCTGCTGCCCTGAACTGTCCTCCCAGCCTTGGCGCTGGGCAGCCAAGAGCGAGCTAGCCAAGTTCCAGAAGAGGATCCGACACGCCCGGAGGTTGAGAAGCCAA